ATTGTTCTAAGGAAATGTGCTGATATTTTAAGTAACCCACTTACAAACATTTTCAGTACTTGTTTTTCTAATAATGTTGTACCCAAGTCAGGTTCTGGAAGTGGTGTCAAGTTTAGACCTATTGCTATTACCTCTCCTTTTTTGAAACTAATGGAGAAATTATTGTTACAAAAACTTGTTCCCTCCCTAAGCTTCTCAAATGATCCAAAGCAGTTTGCTTACAAATAGGGTAGAAGTACTATAGACGCTGCTGCTGTGTTTCATCACAACATTGTATCCTCCTGAGACAAAGGGGCCAAGTATGTCCGTTGTACGTTCCTTGATTATACATCTGCTTTCGACTCTGTATCTAGAGGCCTTTTGTTAGATAAGCTTAGCCTTACACAAACTGAGTCCTGGACTATCAACTGACTGCACTCTTACTTCTCTAATATGATGCAGTACACGGTATATAGTGATGTATCATCCTCTCCTTTGCTTACCGAAGCTAGAGTTCCTCAGGGTGCTGTTCTCTCTCTGTTTCTCTTTTCCTTCTTCTTACATGACTTACCTATTTCAGACGAAATCAACTTCGTCAAATATACAGATGACCTGACTGTTTCGCTTCCCGTTAAGTCTCAGTCCGACTGTTTGAAGTTAAATAGCTTCCTGCCGGACATCAGTCAGAGGTCTAAACTAACTTCGAACTGATGAAGAATACGGGAGGTAATCTCTGTTGCTGGGTCTCCTTCAAAAGCCACTGGAGCTAACTCTTGAAGTCGCCAGAGGAATTCCTCTGTACTTTCGCCGCTCTGTTGGATACATGCGTGGAAAGCAGCCCGCTGCCCAAGAACATGGGTATGGGGCGCAAATGTTCGACGCATAGCTGTAAATAGCTCCTTCACTCCCATAGTCTGTTCTGTGTCAACGCCAGCTAGCTTGAGGCGTTTCAACACAGGTATCGACAATAAACAAATGATAGCACTAGCTCTTAGTTCTTCGTCAAACTGCTATATGTGGCGGCGGCATTGTTCTTCCCACAAGGTGAACGATTCCCCCGGAACAAACTTTTCCGGTGCAGGGAATTTAACTTTAGGTTTGGTATTGGAGGACGGTGCAAGTGTATTAGTCGTCATCAACGCTATTCGGAATGCTGCGACCATTGCTTGAATCATATATCTGGAGCAGACGTGGAGGTCGACGTTGTTGGTGGGGTTGATGACACCTCCGGTGGTGCTCTGGTACTATCTTCCTGATCACGGGTGTTAGCATTATTAGGAGATTTCTAAGTTCTTCACTTCTCACTTTGGTTTACACGAGTTTCGCAGGCTCGCCATGTTTTTCAATAGAGTAACACAAACAATAATAAATATCAAGCACGCTGGGTAAGACGAGGAAAGCAGAACACGACTCGAGGTGAAACACTGTATAATTGTAATATACATATATATGTATATATATACAAAGTGCTAGGCTATAACAGTTCAGCGACCACCGGATTTTGAACTGACGCCTCTTTTCGAATTTGAACCACTCTAGGCTTCATGCTGAATCCCTCAAAATGCCAGACTATTGACTTCTCCTTTGGGCATAAACGAGGTCTACAAACACTAGTAAGTACCCATGAAGCCTGTAGCATTGAGGGGACTAAAATTGAAACTAAGTCTAATGCAAAATGCCTCGGTCTAGTTCTATCTTCCGACCTTACTTGGTCATCTCATATCCTAACGATTTCTAAGAAAGTGTTCCGTCTAACTTACTACATTAAGAAACTTAGACTATCTGGAATCACCCAACCTCTACTTTCACAATTTGTCAACTCTCGTATCTTACCTATTCTACCTTACTGTTCCCCGTTAGTCTTTCCTGGTCTACTAAAAAAGGACTATACCATCCTGAGAAGGATGTTGAAGGTAGTTAGTAGGACTAGTTGTGTAAAACTCAGTCAGCTCGTCACTACATTAGTAGAAAGGCATCTGAATACATGCGAAAAATGGTCTAAAACCATACTCTCCGACGCCCAACACCCCCTTTATCCAACTCTCTCCTTGTATCTTATCAGGTAGAACCAGAGATCGGTATAAAATAATATATGCTCGTACAACCAAGTACAGGAACCCAACAATACCATAGTTGGCCCGTGTTCTATGTGACAGGGACAATGTTAAGCGCGAAACCTATGACTTGCTTTGTTGTTAATAACATAATTTGAGGCTCTTTTATTTCTCTCTTATTTCTATTATATAGTGAACACCTTCTTGAACATACTTAGCTACCTAAATTATTAACATTGGCTTACTTTTTTGTACTTTACTTTATTCCTTCTTTTGTGTATCTACTGGTTCCGACTATATTAGCACTATGAGTATTACAAAATTGTCCTGTCATTAACCATCACGTAATATTAGTTTTGTGGTTGTTTTCTGTTCGGCAACATTAACTGACAATCTTGGTTGTGAATGCCATTATCACCATCTTAAAATTCTGTATTATGCAGGATTACTCACACTACCATTACAAACACCGCATTAAACCTGACAATAAAAAACCCTGAAATGTTGTTTTATGATTGTTTAGTGTTGTTCAATCAAATTAACTGATCATCTTGGCGATAAACACTCTTAAATATCATTTCATAACTTCTAGTATGACTATAGCTTTACTGTCACCACGTATAAACATATCATAGCTTCCACTACCCAATAATGAGATATTATTTTATGTTGTTTATTTTCCTTTCTACTCCTTGGTATTTTTTCGCATTTTTCATCTTTTTTGTTTTTGTTGTCTTTATATTTATTTTTTGAAATACTCCTTTTAAATGTTTGATAAAATTAGATGCAACATTGTAGATATGTGCTGAAAATTCTACACTTTACCACTAGTACTGTTTCTGGAATAAAGCAAAAACATTATTATTATCATTAGATGTACGGAAAGGTAGCCCAGGTGTCGAACAGGCCACAAAATAATGGAAGATAGAAGAAGAATGTACAAAATATGGTGACAAATAATCTAGTGAAACTCTTAAATATGAATGCGATTAACAGAGAGAAATTCAGTTCACTAAAGCCCACGCAGTCCCAATTACCACACATGTATGGTCTGCCCAAAACACATAAACCTAACATTCCTCTACGTCCCATAATGTCAATGTGCAGATCTTCAACCCACAAACTTGCACAGTGGCCAGTGGAAATATTAAAGGCTATTTAAAGAAGCTTCTGTAAGTCCTCATTGAAAGACACTTTTGAGTTAATTGATTGTCATGATAACGTTGATATAAAGGACTAAACCATGTTTTCCCTAGATGTTGAATCTTTATTTATAAATGTATCTTTCTTACAAACGGTCGACACTTAATGTGATTACATCTCTGACAACGATTTCCTATTACATGTATCCATATCTTACTTAAAAGTTACTGCTTCTTTGTACTAACAATGTTAAGTTTACATTCGAGGGCAGGCATCATCGCCAGATCGATGGTATTGCTATGGGAAGCCCCCTAGGTCCATTCTTAGCTGATATATATATATATATATCGCATGTCGAGAACCTAGTGGAGAAAGAGATTGGAAAAGTTTATTTTTATAAAAGATATGTAGATGACATAATAGTCATTTGTGATAAACCGACAGACGCCATAGAAATCCTGAACCAAATCAACAGAGTGCTAAACAGTATATCGCTAACATACGTTAAGAGAATAATGGTTGCCTGCCATTTTTAGATGTACTCATAACCCGCCGAGAAGATGGGTCGGTCAGTAAAACGATCTGTCTACAGAAAGTCCACATGGACGGGACAGTATCTAAATTATCATAGTTTCTGTCCACTACAGTATAAAAAGGCGTTGGTCAAATGTTTGTTCAAGCGCATTCACCGTATTTGTACTGCCGATACAATTGAAGAAGAAAGACAACACCTCACTGAGATATTGTTAGATAACAATTACCCACTGAGATTTATTAGGCATTATGGAGGTGTCAACCATAGAGCTCTACCAATCCAATCAGCTCCTAAATAGGATGTTTACATATCCTTGCCGTTCAGAGGTGATCAACAAAGTCTGGTAACTAGACAAAGACTCTAGACCAGAATTAATAGAACCTATTATGCAGCTATACTTATCTTCATAGAGAAAACGAGAACTATGTTGTCCTGTAAACCCTCACATTATCCGAACGATAGTGTCACATCCCATTGTGTTTATCAATTTACATGTATGTGTGGAGACATGTACATAGGGAGGACCCATCGGTCTCTGCAAGTGAGGACTACAGAACATATTCCAAAGTGGCTGCAACAACAAATGAAATCGCCAGACATAATAGACCCGGAAATAGATGTCCAACATCATCTATAGTGAAGCATGTCATAGAGACAGGTCATAAGGTTGACTTCAACAATCCCTTTAAGCCGATATATAAAACAAGGTTGGGTCAAATACTTAAATTCATTGAAGCCTTAGCCATAAAAAGACTTAAGCCTGTCCTATGTGTCCAAAAGTTATTTGTTATCACTTTGAAGCTGCCTTGGTAATCCAATTTAGAACCAAGGACCAATTTACATCATAATATTTTCAACCCGTTCTTTGCCTTGTTTTTTTCTTTTTTTCTCTTTGTTATCCACACCTTTTGCGTCTCCCTACCCATTATTTGTGACCTTGACCTGTACAGAATCTGACCTGCATTGTAATTAATCATGTCTTCTTGCCTTCTATAAGAACTGTGTATGACAAGTACGTGTGTGATCAGAATGTCCGAAATGTGTTTCGCCAATACATGACACGTTTTATATAAACTACGAGTTCTTATTGTGTTGTTGAAATTCATAAAGGAACTAATTTCTTGAAATCGATAGAAAGGAATGCTCACACACGAAGAGTCAATGTTGAAGTCTAGTTAGCAATTGGTTCGAATACAAGTAGGCTAGAGAGTGCGAGCACACAAAAACAACCAATGATGTTCAAGGTCACGATATGACTAAGAAACTCGTAGAGAAATTTAAAAGCTCACTTGAAAATGAATTATGGATTGTAGATGTTTCCTGGTAGGGCAATGAAAGCTCCGGAAATTAGCTATCCAGCTTAGAGAACATAACCACACCAAAAACACCTTTTATAATTATGAATCTACAATCAACGTTTACCTGTTTATCAACAATTAAGTTGAGATGAAGCAAACTTTTGAAATAATATAGAATAACTGAATGATTTAGTAAAACCATAGTCAATAATACAAAAAAGAGAAATAAACACTACACATATATATAAAACATAGTGGATAATATAATTCCAGGGAATCCGCATATACACATAGTAAACAAATTTAAATAAGAGACTGACTGTAATGAATCCGTTGATGGGGTAACTTCTATGTTGATTTCAGCGACAGGAACACCTCTACGAGCTAAAGATGGAGCAAAACTTGCAGCTGGATATACAACAGCACTGGTACCGACAACTAGACAAACATCAGTATTTGACATAATTTCATCAACTTGAGAAAGAATATCAGGGTCAAGATTTTCACCAAACCAAACAACATGAGGTCTTAACAAACTACCGCATGGTTTCTCACCAACCATATTCTGACAGCGTGGCAACTGTGATGCTGGGATTGGTTTGTATTCTTGTAATTCAACTTTTGGTGAACTAAAGATGAAAGATAAATTGGTGGAAAATGTGAAATATTACTGGAATTTTTATCTAAATGAAATGAATACCGGTGAAAAGATCAATGAACCTATCACTCAACATTTCAAGTAATCAAATACTGGTCAACAGATCATAAATTGATGCTTATAATGATTTATAAGGTTGCATTATTTTTTCCACCCCCTCCATGGAAATTGCAGCTAACGAAAATGAATTCGGTTACGAGGCTGTGTGCTTTGTCATTTAAGAGTTGCAGATCATCCTAGTAAATGTCTTGAACCGGATAAATACAAGTACTAGCATACCAAGTTCCATTACAATATTCACTTTAAGGAGATTTCATAGATTTTAAGGAGGATTCAATTACATGCCAAACGATATCGGTTAGAGAATCCAATTTAACATTCGAAAATTAATTAACTGTTCATTAGTGACCAAAATTTGGATGCAGTTTCAAAGTTATAAGTACTAATTCATTAAGGCGAAGCAGAAGTATTATGTGGACATTGTTATGACTGAAACTACGACCTAGTAGACTATGAGCGAATACTAACTTAATGCGCTGGCTAATCTGTCCTAACTGCGCCTCAACAACAACAATAACACCGCTGACACGTAGAGACAAAAGAAAAGACGACGTTGATAATAGAGCTTTTACTGTCTTGAACAACAGTCGGAATGCTACACACAAATATATATATATATATAGTCAGAGTCACCTTGAAAATGGAATAACTCATTGATGCACTAACGTATTAACAGCCAATAAGAATCCGACAATTTGAACGGAGGGAAAAGCGAAGGGTTTACGTGGGTGAACGATAACTCCTTAAAATCGTTATTTTAGGCTTTTAGGCAAAATTAGGCAAGACAACGTGTATAGAACAGGTACAAGTGAGACAATCCTCAGTAATTCCTGCCAAAAAATGTAGTAAGTCGATGTTTAGTGAAGTCAAGTGTATATGATAGAAAAACAATACCAACAGATTAGTTTAATTTGCCGCACTTTGAAGAAGCTTACATAAAAGTACAGAAAACGGAATAAATGTACGCTTAAGTAGCATGGAAGATAAGACACACAGGAATAAGGAGATATTTCATACATTTATTCCCCTTAATGAATTTGAACAAAGCGAAAACTACAGTTTTAGCAGAATAAAATGGTACCATCTTTTATTTCGTTGCCTTCTCGTCAGCTGCTTACATGGCAAAGACATTATTAAATATATCTACTACAACAATTTTGACATACTTGCACAGAGTTAAGTTTAAACAAAAATCAATCGATCAATATACTCATACACTAAAATATATACATATATAAATATGCAATATTAACCACTATTCCGAACAATAATAATCAAACACAATGGAAACTTTTCAGCATTTCACATTCGGAGGAAAGAGAGGTGAAATTATCCAGTTACCAGGGCAAAGAAAGGCTGATAACCGCTTCTTTCTGGACGCATAAATCAGGTTTCAGGCGCTTGATGGAAATGGCTTCAGCAAACTTAAGGAGAATTCAGCTATTTCGCTTATGGATAATTTTGAACGACTTTTCAACGTCCACCTCATGACCAGTGTCGAGAAGATGCCTGGTGATGGCACTTTTTAAAGCATTTGTTCCCTTCAGACGTAAGCTTTTTGGTACATGTTCAGAAAATCGTAGATATGCCTTTCTTTCTGTCCTTCCAATGTAACTGCTCCCGCAGATACATGTAAATTTGTATACACAGTTGGAGGTAACATGAGAAGGATGTCTATCGATTTTTGATCGCACCAAAGAGCAAGTTGTTCGATAGACGGGAACGAGCTTAGCTGCAAGATACGCTATGGCTAGTGATGTACTCAGCCTTCTGTTGATCATCGCTGCAATATTTTCACCTTTATAATCAAGCTGAAGGTAGACTGGCGAAAAAGTCCCAGATGAATGTAAATTATAAATTCAGCTGTGTTACTATAACTTCTTCATTTGTGTAACACAAAGGCTTCAAAAACTAATTTCACTTGTATTGTTGATTTCATCCGAGAAATGGACTTAGGAGAAAACGGTCAGACTACATAGACGGCTGTCATATCTAAATAGAACCATTTTAATTTTTTTATACTTTAACCCTAGTTCAAGTAAAATTGCACGTCGGATTTTATTGTCTAGTGAGCATAAAACATATTGTAACTATCACGACTTCATCAATCAACTAAACACCTTCACCTCGATCTCTACACTTGAATTCTAAAAGTCTTGTGTCAAAATTCCACAGCACAAGGCTAGTTAAAAGTCGGAAGTTATTTGTATTCAGGATATTTTAACATGCATAACTCCACCATCTACCTCTACATGCAAATGAAAGTTACAGTCTACTTTTCACAGGTTTGAAATAAATCTCAGACATTCCCAATTCACTAACCAACACATACATCTCGATCTGAATTTTATTACCATCTTAAAACGACAAGACCACGTCATCCGTATATTCTAAATCCACTAAAGAATATCACCATTTAGAAAATCAAAACAAGTGATTCAGCGAAGAGACTCTTTTCAACGAATTTATCATCAAGCTGTACAGTCGTATATATATGGTTTTTAATAAGTTATATCCAGTGAGGGAATTGAATCTTAGGTGTGAATGCATAAAATAATAATAATAATAATAATCATATGAAGTTCAATTAAAGCTAAAATGTTTGTGATTATAATCGTAGTTAAATGTCAAGTGGCAAAGCAGATTAATGTCATATATAGGAATAATTCATGGTCTTAATCCCTCTATGCTAAAATATGGTAATCCCCAATCATATTTTAGCTCTACCAATTTTTCATTTTGTCTATTCAATTTGTATACTCTTCCTTATTAAGTCAATTGTTATTATTACTATTCTCACTTTGAACTGACCCCGGTATTATTTCACTTGTTCCACTTGTCATTCTAAATCAATTCTTTTTACAACGACAAATTCTATGCTATTAAATTTCACACGATATTACGTAACGTTTTTGTTTTATTCGATTTGTCTACTAATCCTATTATTGCACATCCTTTTTCAAGTTCTATCCCTCCTATGAATTATTATATATATGACATTAATCTGTTTTGCCACTTGACATTTAACTACGATTATAATCACAAACATTTTAGTTTTAATTGAACTTCATATTATTATTATTATTTTATGCATTCACACCTAAGATTCGATTCCCTCACTGGATATAACTTATTAAAAACCATATATATACGACTGTACAGCTTGATAAATTCGTTGAAAAGAGTCTCTTCTCTGAATCACTTGTTTTGATTTTCTAAATATCACCATTGTCTCTTATACGATCATGCATGTTTGCTTAGAGGTATCTTTTCCACACAAATGGAAGGAACCATCAATTTAAGATACCACTTAAACTCAGGAAGCATATTATCCTTGTTAATCTCAATATAACTAGAAGTATAACCTCCTAGAACAGAACTTAACTTATCATCGTATGCCGGTTGTGAATAAGAAAAGTATTGATGTACGGATTGAACTATTAATTAAGTGCGCTCAAAAAATGACACCCTGTAGGAAATTATTAGACCTTCAGCTTTCACTTTAGGTTTCAGTTGTAATAGATAACAGGAGAATTCGAGTGAAAAACTCACACACAAACGCAGTAGCACTAGCAGAGTCTTTGATATCTCACTACCCTGAAATCATATATCCATTACGTTTACTGCTATCATTGGAATTTTATTGGTTCACTGTTCCTACTATAAAATAAGTACATACAAGCAACTTCCAATCACAAGTTCAGTCTTTTTCAGCTATCAAGATTTCCTCAGCTACTTAGTATCATAGGTTTCCACACTATGGTTATGCACCTTTTGTGGTGAAATAAGAGTGACAATGTGCACTTTGTATGTATGCAGGATTGGGAATTATTATTTGTATCGGATTTGCCTACTTAACTGTCTAGTTCAATAAAAGTCTTAGGCGTGAATTCAAATGACAAAGCAGTCTAAGAAATAGACAGAATAATATGAGACAGAACAGTGTGATGTATGATTTAGTGGTCCCTTTTCGTAGTATACAGATTACCGTCATCTGAATTCACAAAAAGAATCACTTATTACATGTGTACATAGAATAAAATACAACAGATAATTAATCAATAGTCGGTTAACTTACCCACGACCTAATAATGCTGGGCATATTGGACTGTCACGGTTCTCCCGGACATCATTACATTCCAAACATCGTGTTTTATAAAGATTTCCTGTAGATCAGAGAAAATGATTCAAACAGGTAAACAAAACTTGTGAAGACTTAGTCACAATTACAACCTCAGTTTCCAAAAATAATACCAACTACATGACATTCCTCCATAGGTCCCGCGTACATAATTTACAATAATCTGAACATGAAATTATACTTTTCAAATTATGTCACCCAATTATGAATTCATAGAATATTTTAGCTTGTAGATGTGTTAACTGAGTTTGATATTTCGCATAGTATTCAACGAAGTCAAGTATATAGGTCAACAGTATCTCATCAGGATAGCTCAAGGCGGAGAACGAAAATTTAGCTGGTAAACAAAAAGGTTGACGCTACCAGAGTCAGTGATCTAGATAAACCCTCAGTTATTCTGATGCGTACTTTGACCATGTTGTAAGCAAAATATAGGTTGGGATACCTTTACAACACTACAATCAAATGTAGTTAGTTGGAAAGACAGAAACTAATACTTATTTACAAAGGAAGTACAATTTTCGGAGCCAACTATTTAACCTACCTCCCAAAAGCGGAAAGGCAGCATAGTTGAATTGCCTGTCGTTTGAGGGGGAATACCTTACCACTGTTACATCCCTATTCGCCAGCGGTACGACACTGTGATGTTACATGCTTTTGGTGAAACCGCTATCCAAACGACGTTTCTGACAAGCTATAACCTAAAGGAACATTATTTCCAATCAGTGTAGCGGATTGGGTCATTGCAATATGCGAGCCAGAACACTAAGTCAAAGTAGCAGTTATCCATCGGTTAGTTCGGTAGATAATACAAAAGCAGAACTCTGGCGCATTCTTAGGATTCAATTTGGTGTTAATTCACTTGTTAGGTGTATCACACAAATAGATATCTACAAAATTAGAATCACAGACATTGTGAGATTAACTGTCACATTATTATGAAATGTAAACTGTCATCAAGGTCAAGATATTCAGCACAGAGACGTTTTTCAACAAGCAGTAAGTTATGTTTAAAAAGTTTTTCAGTCAACAATATTTTTTCACTATACGATGTATTGACGGAAGAAACCCATATCAAGTTAAAGCAACAATAATAACAAACAAGAAACTGAACTAAAAGATGTACTTGGACATACCATGTATCTCTAATACGTTGTGACTTCCAGCTTTTGTATGCAGACCATCAATATTTTGTGTAATCACACGAAATGAGCGGCCACATTCAGTGTACTGCTTCTCAGCATAAGCAAGAGCAAAGTGTCCGGCATTAGGCTGCTTAGTACGAACGAATTCGCGCCGATAATGATAAAATTCCCATACTAGCCCAGGATCTGACCGAAAAGCGCCAGGAGTTGCAAGATTCTTTCGATTTATTGATCCTATTTGTCGTTTAGAAACAAGTTACCTGGGCAGAAAAGTCCCTCCACAATCCACCAGATCCTCGGAAAGTTGGTACATGGCTTTCAGCACTTATCCCTGCACCAGTCAAAACCATCACATTATGAGATTTAGAAAGGATTTCCCGAAATGCACTGACATCCGAACATCGTTTGGCAAACTGTAAATTAGTCCCCTGAAAGGTCACTGATGAAACTGAATGTAAAACAGCATACTGCACTTCTCATCGAGAAACGACAGATATAAGAGTGAATCATTGAACCTTAAAACAAAAACAGTTACATACAGACTGATTCAATTAGCATTGTATTAGTACTTCTGCAGCTTTATATGAGTTTCTTATGGTTGTTGAATTTGTCAGTCATTTTTGTCATTTAGTATATCGCATTAGCTCTAATGGATGGGTTGCTATTTTCCTGACCTACGTCATCCAATCACCCAGCAAAATGCGTACAGACTGTGCAATAGTTTACTCAGTTCATATTTACACTTGAAGGTGAGTGATGCTCCGAGATCACATTTTGACCATTTTCGGCTTTCATTGTAGCACATAAAAAGACCTGTTTCTGATAAATAAGTCCAAATATATAGATTTTCTGTCTCTCAGTCGTTTCCAAAGTCCAAAACTCTACTTTGCTTATGATATTCCTGTCACTTAGCGCCTAACCCCAAGGAGCTTTTCCTGAACTGTTTGTACCACACAAGGCCTGCATATCTTTCAGTTTAAAAGGAGCTGACTTTAAATTTAGTTTTCATTTTCTGTATATTTCTCTACTAAATCATCGATTAAGCTCTGAGTTATATTGGTATTCTTCATATTACTAAAGCAGTGTTTGATAAACCAATTCTGTTTACTGATATATTAATTGAAAAAAAAACCAAGTCGCTATCATCAGCATAAGCAAATCCAAAACAAAACTTAGTAAAATTGTAATAATGGCTTTTATGGCTGAGACTTGGCCATTGAGAGTGGAATATATGAAAAGGTTAGCTGTCTTTGATCATAGGTGCCTGCGTTCTATCTCCCATGTGAAGTGGTATAGTGGGATGGGCAACATTGAGGTTAGGCATAGAATGCTAGGTAAGAAGGGGAAATCAATCCACGAGACTGTGAAGCTACATCGACTGAGATGGTTAGGACATGTGCTACGTATGCCTATACTAGCCGTTGGCTTTCGCGACGGGCAATGTTAGCTGACATAGGTTCAGGCTGGAAACAAGCTAGCGGCGGTCGAACCAAAACATGGCACCAGTCAATGAAATCCACAACAGGTAGTTCAAGTCATGTAGGAAGATGTCGACTTCCTCGTTGGGGTCCTCAGGACGGTAAAAACCAATGGTTGGAGACAATAAGTGATATGGCTTAAAATCGTTCTCAGTGGCGTAGATGCATCCACTACTTACGACTTATAATATCCAATGAAACTATAGTGCTTTTCATTATTACTATTCCTTTTGTGTCATATTCCTGTCTACTGTCTCTGTTTTGCATTTCTTCTACTTTCTTTTCTTGCTTTGTGTACTACATGGAGTGCGGCGACTTAAGCTGCTGCACATCATTGCAAAGTTCTATGTTGAAAACATAGACAGACATCGAACATGTGCTTAAGGAAGAGCTACATAAGTTATTTGATACATATCAATTTTGGGTGATACATAATTCAGATAGGACCTAATCTTAAATGACTTCAATCAATTTATCTTTAGTAAGCATTTGGAAGATGGTGTCGACAGGTACGGAAAATACCGTATCTTCTATACGAATTAAGCAGAAGTAAATGAGGTAATTATTTCCCGGCAAAAACAACTTTCTCGTCATAACCAAAAGAGAATAAACTTAACCGCTTCAGTACCTAGAATTACAGAGACCATAAAGAAACTAATCAAACTGAAGACTATAACTTGTAATACTAAAATCAACCAGGTGGCTTTTACATCTAGGCACGGGTGCACTACTATGCGTTCATCAGCTGTCATATTATGACGCACAGATGTATATCAACAGACGATGTTAGCTATATCCTGACATGAATGTACTTTGAGTTTATCGATAGGGTTGGTCATCACGTACATTTTTTCGATGAAAATTCCATGTACACAGAATTGTGGACTTATTAAGGTCTAGCGAGGACCTATCGCTTTAAGAGAGTGGTGCTTATTTAGGATGTACTCTTCCCTTATTTCTACTCAATTTTGTTGAGGAAATGCTTGTATAGGATTGCCTTCGCCTAGCTTTCTAATCTTTGACTGTGAAACAGTATAATGTCCTTCTGAGATACGCGTGACTATCTGCACCTATTAGGGACAGTTTGCACAACTCAGAATGGTACATAGTGCCATTAAGACACATCTTATTTTAATCTTAAAATCCCGTGTAATTGGCTTTGTCTTAGAGTGTTTTACAGCTGTCCATTGGATTGTGAATTCTTCACTTTCGTTTGTGTTTGCTACTTTACGTGCAATTTGAACTAATACTAAAGAATACATCCCATTCTCATAATGACAGGCTTAAAGTACCAATGTCTACGAGTAATTATCCCCAGACCCTTATCCTTAATCCTGAGATTAAAAGCCATAACCCTAAATAATAGTCCCAGCCAGCATTGACAGCGAGCGTACCGCAGAATGTTCAGAGGAGACTTCAGGTGCACTTCAAAATTATTGAGGCAGACCACAGATCACTATCCCACGTCCTACAATGCTCCCGAAAAAAATGCTAGCCGAGATTCCCTGTATCTGTCTAAACGTGGAGCAATTCTAAACTTATTCTAACCTATTCTTCGACAATGCCTTTTTATGGTAGATGAAGATTTCATCTACCCACTATGTTCTGAAGTAATGCTAGAACGTGCTTAATATGTCTTGTGAGGGCTGGAACAATGCTTGTAAGCAAACCCAACAGGTTCTGACCTACTCCTGAAAATGCCTAGAAAAAGAACGCGGTGTTGAATTAGTGCCATGCTGAAAACCAGCAGAGTTCTGATCTGTGCCTTTACAGTCATTTCAGATTAGATTCAAAATTTACTCAACAGATAACGTTAGAATTATTTCAGAATTAGTGAGATTTAATTCAGCATTATGGTAAGCTTCGGTGATCTGTTCTTGAAAGTCAAATTTCAGAAGATCTTGACTTCGATTATGTTACTTAAACTTAGACGAAAGCAAAGTCAATTTCCAAACAGTTTACAAATGAAGTTTCAGCGAAAACCTCCCTCACCTCACTACACAAAACTGACACAATTGTCATTTACCAGCAGCGCATTTTACAGGTTAAAATTACTCCAAGGTTATCTGCGTCTTTCAATATCCAATGGTTTCCTGATCACCTTAAGGAAACCTTTTAATTTATCGGTTCTAGCTTCTTTTCGGACAAAAAAGGCCTAGATATTCAGTATTTTCGATGACTTTAAACTTAAGCAGCTCAAAATGAAACTACATAATGAACGGATTGATGACCTTGACGAGTATATCTTCAGAAATCGGTTTAACCTGTCGTAAGATCTCCTGTAAGAAACTGGAGGGTTTTCATGGAACATATACGAAAACATTATCCCGTGTAACCATTTTTAACGTTGTATTACTTGGATATGCACGCACTTCTACATCTGAAACATCTGATTGGGCACTCGAGATAGTTTCGTCTTTGTTTGTTTAGTGTCAACACGATCTCTGGTGACGATGATCTATAGTCCCGACTTCTGTTTCCCCAATTAATTATATTATATGGAGGGCATGGATTGATTTTCAGGAATTTATGTTTTAATTGCGGTACCGTAGTTCTCTAGGTGGGTTGTAACACCTGTGGAGACCTCAAAAATAAACTTATCCAACTTTTGCTACTATGTGAGAAATGAACACATTGTACATAACTTTGTTTTAACCAGAATCTCTGTACTTTGAACTTAATCTGGTTGTTTGAATGGAAATATAGTTCTGCCTACAGCTCCACCCCTTCTCCACCATCTCAACTGCCATCGGCCAAGTCTAATCACCTACCTTCTGTTTCAAAATTTCACAGGGACGCCATATTTTCTCCTTACGTTACCTTGGTCGACTTCTGGCAATACTGATATTTGAGAATTAGGATTGCGGCAGTCTTCTCACAATACCTCTGGAGTCTACAACGTTAATTGTGGATTTGGACCTTGTAATAACTCAAGTAACGAATTTTAATATATTCCTCCAATAACTTTATTGATTTGGTATTTTTATTTCAATTCGAATTCGGCACATTAAGATAACAGAGTCTATAGTCCACCACACACTTCGGAAAAAACGAAAATAAGTGGCTTGGAGTGAAACTGGGAGGACAAATGGAAAAATTCAAAGGAAAACTGGCAAACAGGCTGAGTACAAATGAGATAAGAAAAAATTCACATACATGAACTAACCAGGTTTTAGCAGGTAGGTAAATTAGGAAAAATTTAAACAAACGGTAAACTGTTTCAGCTGCAACGGTGTGATATTTATAGCACCGGTTGAGCCTTATATAACGAGATCTCACACCTTATGGATATAGATGAATCCCTAGCATTTGTTCTTCAACTTTTCTTGCTGTTATAGCTATCGGAACGACAGGCAAACTGGGTGGAATTGAATTCTTTAGATAAAAAAGAGTTGGGTTGACTCTTAATATGAGGATAACCTCGAGGGGTATCATAGCGTTCACCTACTATTATTCATCGTTTCATGCGGTTCGCGCTGTGCCCTTTAGTGTGCCTTACTTAAATTAACCCTAGATGAGAGGCAGTTGAAAATATTTGTATTTTGGTTTCTGGGTCGATCAAGATTCAGGTATCATATCAGTACGCCGTTGATTTTAGCTGCCTTCCTCTCTACTTTTTCGAACAGATAAACTGGTGATTTTATTAAGAGCATATGATCTCCCTACAGAGTTCCAAGGCTGTACAGCACAACCAAGCCGCAGTGCCTCATGGATTCTAGGTCGTCACCCACTGTGCCACAGGAATGATTTTATGCGAGAACTGAGGAGGGAAGTTCTTACTTAATGTTGCATGTACTGAAAAGTGCCTAACAGATGCTCGGCACTTCGGTACGCTGATGGAAAGCATTCATTTTTCTGTCCACATATGTGGGTTGTTGAGTTCTCTTTGTGGTGTATGTGGCGCACTTTCTTCACCTCTCCAAGTTCCTAGATTATCTGTGTGAAGAACCATGGGTGATGTGGTGAACCTAAGTACTCCCTTAATATGAAGGGCAAGGGAAAGGTGACCGAGCGCAATAAATTTTGGAACTCGGCCCTGTTTTGTTGTCCGAAATAAGCGCTTCCAATTTATCCTCACTTCCTATCTCCAGAGAGCTATGGGCATCTTCGGTCCAGTGAGCAGTCCGTGATTCCAGAAACCTCAGTTCACAGGATGGGGGACTTTGTCAGATGTGATCCTATGATCCATCAAGAGACTGTCAATGAGCACTTTAATAAAACATAACTTGACATAAATTTATCCTGCCTTAGAATTAAGATGATATGAGACAATTCCTGACACGCTGGTTCTGAAACAAAAAACAAGTAACAGATTTTCAGGTAAATCATGGGAGCCGTGTCAGTCAATTCCGAAGAACTGTATATGTCCAGCTCCTACTGCGCTGGACCTCACGCTGTCCTTGGAAGACTTTCAGAAACACTTTGTATTAACCAACGCTAAAACCAGAACACAGATTGGCGACTCGAGAATCCTTCATTCTTACGCCAACATGTCACCAACAATAGGGTTATTATACACAAGGTTCATCGAAATCAATGCATTCTTGTAAGTCATCAGATTATCCAAAAACTCAGATGGCGCCTTGGAGTCATCTTGTAACTGACTACCATTACCTTTAACAGCCTCGAATAATTTCCCAACAATCATCGAAGGTCTTCTGAATCTTTGACACAGTATACTCATGGCCTCAGAGTATCTTTCGTTAGCGGGCATGAACTTACAGCAGTGGATAGCTCTCGAAGCAACTGCAGTGCAGCACCTCATCAAATACATCAACTTCATTTCACCATTTAATGAAAAACTATTCAACATGATTTGAAACCCCTTTACAAACTGTAAATGGTCAGCTGGGTTTCCGTCGAAACATCGAGGTTGAAATTTAGGCAGTTCAATATTCCTTTTTATGCCCAGACGAGGAAACATTGACATCAACCTTCTCAGGCTTCACATCACACACATCATTACATGTAAAAGACAACTCAACATTACTTACTGTCCTGCTTGCTTCCAAGACGCTTTGTCCCTTCTCTGACCCAGATATCACTGAAGTTGACCAAAAATCCAGAAAAGTTCCAGATAACGCTTGTTCAAAGAAGACTCGCAGGCACCAGGAGAGACGAAGAGAAACTATCAAAAACTATCAGAAACTGTCAGCCAACTCTCAGAAACTGTCAATGTCCAGCTCCTACTGCGCTGGACCTCACGCTGTCCTTGGAAGACTTTCAGAAACACTTTGTATTAACCAACGCTAAAACCAGAACACAGATTGGCGACTCGAGAATCCTTCATTCTTACGCCAACATGTCACCAACAATAGGGTTATTATACACAAGGTTTCTGATAGTTTTCGGTCTTCCACTGAACAGCGAAAGATAAGGCGATGACTGATGGGTGGATGACTCCTGCGAAAAATGTGGAGGATTTGGGCTTGAGCAAACAACCATGAATTGATCGTTCAATCTTCAACTACATTGACACTGCCCGCCAAAAAACCGATCCGTCCTTTTTTTCCTTCACGACCAATACACGTTGACTTGGATGCCATTGCGAGAACCTGGGTCACACGGACAAAGCTGGGATGGAAAACAAACAGCAAAGCCAACACACCACAGGCATACCCACAGCACAATTGCACTCATTGATGACGACCTGCGCCTTCAAGTTAAAGGCATCCTCTTGACATCTTGCAACATAATCGCCACTTGCTAGAATGACTCTTGCAGAACGCAACGTGACGATAGCAGCACCTCATGATACTCTTCGCACATCCTCTTATCTATTCACTACCAATTACCACTGCGATCGCTTGTCACTCATTCTGCCTCAGTTCTAGTAACGGCGACGTATGAAAGCCTCAGTAGTCTACACTCTCGCCTAAACAGAAATATTCATTCTCAATCATTGATTCCACAGCTAATGCTTATCTCCGTGTGCATGTCATTCTCAGCACTAGACTCCTCGGCCTATACATCCCATGTGCTGTCTTTAACATCAATCAATTCATTCACGGATGTAGAGGACTCGAAACAACTTCAGAAGTAAGCACGACGAAAATTTTAACAAAATTATGTATAACAACAGGGTACGAAAACAACAAGTAAACACCGTAAATCCAAAAACATCAAACTGATACGACACACCATACATATATACAAACAGTAAACATAACCTCACAAATGGTGTCTTGATGTAATTCCTTTGAAGAATTTCAGCACCTAGACCTGTACGCCTGCAACCCTTCTCAGGTTGACGATTGTAAGTTGTGGAATGTCCGAACACAAACAAGATTAACCAACAATTACAATAATTGGAACTCACACAATTATTTAACACAAACATATGTATAACCAACACATCAAATGTTGTGGATTCTGGCACGACAAACCACCCTTGAAGAACTGTAGGACTTACAGCAGTACGCCTACATTCCTTCTCAGGTAGATGATCCAAGTGGAAGTCGTCCGGACACAAACAGAATTACCAACAGCTAGATGACAGATGATATCAATTCAGTATATACAATATGAACATATGTACAAAATAACACCCCAGGTACGATGGACTGAGCTTCAACCTACTGCCTTTGAAGAATTGTAGAACTTACGGCAGTAAGCCTACAACCCTTCTCAGGTTGACGCTCTAGGTTGGAAAATCGTCGCAGAGTTCATTTGCTGACCTCCTTCCATCATCTACATCCTCAGCTCTGAACGGTAACACGCCCATGTCACTGTATCGTAGAATATGGATGACCAACAAACACACGACGTATCTGGTCAACCAAGCGTAGAAACAGAGTAATTTACACCAAAGATAATAGCATTCAAATAGTAACTTGAAACTTGAAATGCCTTTATTCATGCAAGTCAATTTAACAATTACTCTCTCGTTTACACTTGGCTTATCCTCACGAAACTGAGCAATATCTTTCGTCTTTTCAAACGCACCGATACTATCATAGTCATTGCACAAGATACTTGAGTTGATGGGTGTCCTTCTCATTGTGGATGACAACACCAACGACGACTGATTGATACCAGCTGATGAACTTAGCGGTGGATCAAAGGTTGTTGTTGTTCGGCTTTCAGATAGTTGTCTAACTGCAAGATTACCACCACTGCTGTCTTTCACTACTAGTTCGGGTTTAGCACTATCATCTGATGATAGGTGGGCTACACGCTGATCAATTACACTGACTGTCTCA